AACCTGAGGCCGCAGCTGATCTAGACCAAGAGACCTTGCCGTAAGGAGTGGCAACGAGGCCTTTCTTGAGAGAGGACAGGAAGCCCGCGGCCCAAGCCTGAAGGACCGAGGAGCTCAACTCCTGCGCGCCCCCAGCAGCGGAGGATGCGGCAACGAGAGCTCCGACTTCCAAGGGCCTCTGGGAGTACCTAGAGAGCCCGGATGACTGAAAATGGATACTTCGGGGTTGGATGATCCATATGCGGAGCATTCGTGATCGTGGATGCATGCGAAGGCATCGTGGTAATCTTGACACGATAATATTCGCTTTATATTGCCTAATAGGCGGCAGATATGAGAAGTGACATCTCTCCGGCATGCAATGCATGTGGCTGACATCAAGCCATGGAGGCGCGTAAATATGGTAGCGGGGGACAATGGATATGCAGCCATTGGTGCATCATTGGATGATAAACGGCAAAGAGCAAAAGTCACAAGATGAAACACGCATTGGAATACGTGTTATCTCTTGGCTTGTGTTGTAAAAGCCATTTGGGAGCGGCTATATGCTGGCTTGTGTTTGAATACACACGATTCTCCACGCACGCGCCTGGGCGCGCGTGCTGGCTTGTTTTAAATACACGATCCTGAAGGCGCGCGCCTGGGCGCGCGTGCTTGCTTGTTTGTTAATACACGATCCTGAAGGCGCGCGCCTGGGCGCGCGTGCTTGCTTGTTTGTTTATACACGATCCTGAAGGCGCGCGCATGCTTGCTTGTTTCTTAATACACGACCTTCACAGGTCGAGATGCAATATCCAATTAAGCTAAAATAGCTTGAGCCGAAATGGTTTTTAGTGGGGGTTTCAGCATTGAGAAATAAAATATAACCGATCCTTGAATCTGTTTTGTATTATTACACACGATTATCTGTAAGGTTTTTTTTCTCGCTTGCATGTGATTCTGAATGCACGTGCTTGAGCGTGTCTGTTCCTTTGTTCTTTATACACGATCCCGAAGGCGCGCGCCTGGCGCGCATGCTGGCTTGTTTGTTAATACACGATCCTGAAGGCGCGCGCCTGGGCGCGCGTGCTTGCTTGTTTGTTTATACACGATCCTGAAGGCGCGCGCTTGGGCGCGCATGCTTGCTTGTTTCTTAATACACGACCTTCATAAGCTGGTGCATAGAGCCACAATACCTTGAGCCAAAATGGTTTAGATAAATTAACTATATGGGACGCCGGGCGACTTATCAATATACCCATATATACCCGACAACATTCTTTTAGTGCTCTGAGTATTTAGATTTGGTCGGTTTGGTTGACGGGAATGTGCGTTCTCACTTTTTGACCACCTAGCTCACAAAGGGGGGGCCCAAAACCCAATATGTTTTAGCAACTTGGGTTGGCTTAGGGGGCTGATATTTTTGTTAGAGGTTCACTGGGCTGATGTTGATGCACTTTAGGGATGGAAGGGGGCAGAGTTTCAGGGTTTTCGCTACGAACCTGTTTGCTTTGTAAAGTTTGGAAGGGTCAAAATTTAGGGTTTATAAGGTTTAGGGAGGCAGCTTGACAAAGCGCCAATGAGATGCTGAAATTTCAGCCACAACTTCAACCCTATTTGGAGGGTCAGGGGACTCGGTAAGTAGAGTAGTACTAGGGACATTGTGAACTATCATATGATTTTTAGGGTTCATAATCTACTTACCAAGTCCCCCTGAGCCTCCAAATAAAACCCTTTCGTTCAAGCCCTATAAAAACCCTGGGGCCGTGAGAGTGCTCCGTCTTGCTCCTCAACCCGCGTTTCCAAAAATGGGGAGGGTTCATGTAATCCCCAATGTATTCTACAGCTTCGCATATAATAAGTGCTACCAAATTTTACCCCCCATTTTTGGAAACCTCGACCTGATCGCTGGGAATATTGGATGAGTTGAAAGTTGCGGTCTTAGAAGTGATTCTTTCCCTTGGGTGATCCTAGTAATCAAGATTGTCGTATTCGGGTATAAAGACTTATATCAGGCCTTTCTTTTGGGAAACCCGACCTCCAAAACAAGCCCCCTCCCCTGAAAACCTGAAGCGCCCAAGCATTGCTACAGAGTGTTTGAACGAAGGAGCTGCTCCGCAGCGCTAAACCCTAAAGCCTAAAGCCTAAACCTCAACCCCTAAATCCCTAAAACCCTAAACCCTTCCCAAAATCCGTCCGCAAACCCTTCCCTTGAAAATAATCAGAGCCAGCTATCACCGGAGATGATGGAATGCTTTGTCGCTTGTTGGGGCCCGCTCCCAACCCAATGTGTCTGCACTTGTACACATATCACCCAAACTAGATCAAGGCCCATAGAGTAACAGCGCAGACACATTGGGTTGCCATGAAGAATTCTGCATGCCGGGAATGAGAGGAGCAGAAGCTGGGGTATTGTGCCAATGTTGTCATGATGGGTTGCTTGATTCCAAGTACGGATGGGGGTATTGTGCCAATATTGTCATGGTGGGTTGCTTGATTCCAAGTACGCAGGCCTAACAAGCTTTGCGGTGGGTGCCCTGATTTTAAGTACGGAAGCCAAACAGACTTTGAGATGGGACCATGTTTTTTCCGGGCACTTCAGAACACATCTCCAAACTCCAAGAGCGCTCTATAGCGGTTGCACGTGACAGAATCCATCGTTGCCGGATGGCATGAAGAAGCTATGCGGCCCAACTCTTTCATCAAGTCTTCGTCTTGGTAGCAGTGCTCAAACCTCTCAGGGATGGAATGTAGGATAAAATCAGACAATTGTAAACCTCGAACTGTGAAAAGAAGTTTTCCTTAATCCAAAACAAGTACTGGAATCACCAGCCTCGGGTTTCTGGATGTCCTCTCCACATACAATAGCAGATGCAGAAACGAATGGAACTTTGGAACGACTTTGAAGTTGCATCGCTCTTTGCCATGATTCTCAGAACATAGCTTCTGATAGAAAAGTAGGAAAGACCTGCCCATTCTGACCGCGTTATTTTTCATAGCGTCCGTGAGGAATGGCCCACTCATGTCGAAGTCAAACTGCATCTTTGCCAACGCGTAGGAAACGCAAACGAGATTAATCCCGCCTGCTGTTTCTGCCTGCACGTCATGCAAAAACGCATGTACCCAATATATCAACATTTTGACCGTGTAAGCTTTGTAGCAAGACTGCAATTCCGGCCGCGTGCCCCAAGTCTCTCTGCCGAACCTCGTCAGCGTAAAGCGGTGCCCACAACCTGGAACTTTGGCGGCTCGACACCACGCCTTGTAGTGTTTCCACACATCCGTTTGCAACAGCGTGTCCAACTGCTTCAGAGTGAGCGCAGGCCCGTGTTTCTCTTCCAAATGCGAGCATACTAAAGCGGGTATTACGCAGCAAGCTACACCTTGATGGAGCACATGGAGAAGATCCTGCGCTCGGAAATATCAACCAAAACATGACCCCTACGCCTTGTAGACTCCAAGCCCACAAAACCTTATGTAAAAAACATAGAAGTTTCAACCAAGAAACACTCCAGACCAGACGCCTAAATCTTAAACATTCTTGAATCCATAAATGTAATGAACAACTATTAGAAAAGTTGAAACGACGAATGTTTACACTTTGTTTTGAAATTGCACTGAGTCCTCCAAGTTCCGGTCTTTCGTCCAACCAGGAACAGTTTGCCATGAAGATTGGAGCTGCGGCGGGGTCATCATCATAAACTGGGCATGCGTGAACCGAACGTCCAGATACGGAGCGTCCAATGCAAAATTTCGGTAGTTGAATGCAGTGTCTAGTTTCGTAGCAGGGCAGTGTTCGCATATGTTGTTGTGGTTGTAGGATCTCTGGAGCTTGTGAACAACCACTCGGGCCTCCCAATCTCCCTTGAAGCCACTGAATGCAAACATGTAGCCGGCTGCAATGAGCTCATTCGCCCTACCAGCTTCTGCTGAGCCTTCAGGCCAGGGATCCCCATTGAAGTCCGTAGCAGGAAACCTGCCACTCTGCAATACTCCTTGAACCCATCCAACAATCTCGCCTATGCGGTCATGTGTGAAAGGTTTCCAGATTAATGTCTCTCGCACAAGCAACATCATCAACTTTGAGGATAAAGATGGCCCTTTCTTCAAAGCACTGGAGTAGGAGTATATCCAACACTTCTGCTGTTTATACACTCGTACACCGTCCGTATGCCAGAAAATAGGAATTGTCCTCCCAGGATCCTGAAGCTTCAAGTTCTTGACAGACTCCTCCGAAGCCAGTGTCTCCCAATACAATGTATTTTCTCGAAAGAGCCTGTTGGAATTTGGGGTGTTGCAGGCCCATGACAGCAGGTGGTTCTCCTTGTGTAGCCAATTGAGCAAATCCCATGGCCACGTGATTGCCACAGCTTGATTTTTGTTTACAATGCTGCCATCCATTTCTGGAATCCGCAAAGGTAACTCCACAAACCCACGTGGAATCTTGGTGATTTTGGAATACCACCTGATGGGAACCCCGGAAGAAAAAAAAGTTTCTTGCTCGTTTGAAATTATGTTAATGTTGTTAACTGAATGATTTACCCATAACCTCTGAAAGCTTCGTTCCTCGTGCCCAGTCGAAAATTCTGCCAGGGTGGCAGCCAACGAGCAAGCACACTTGTCCGCCACCAAGTCACGAGCTTGGGCAACACCAGCAGTAGCCGGCAGCTTCTTAGAAGCACAAAATCCAACAACATGAAGCACCGACAAGGTCAGACCCACAAAGCCAAAACAGGTGACTCATTTCTAAGCAAGACACGCCAGAGCAAATCTCGCGAAGAATTCGCCGAGCAGAACGACTTGCATTGTCCACAGCATCTCGACCTTCACCAGGCAACACATTCAAAACATATCGTAATTGAAATGGAACTGCTGCAAAGGAACCTTCATGCTGCCTCCTCATCGGTACAATAGCCAGAGAACCTTTAAGTGTCAGCAAGAAGCAAACAGACATCTTTCACTTCAACAGGACAATAACCTTATGTAGCAAAGCAGCGCTCAGCACCATATTGAGGATCGTTCGGTCGTGATCGGGATCTAGATCTCGCCCTGCGTGGTTTGGTTTGTAAATCGTGGGAATATTGCATGCATGCCCGAAGCACAAGTCTCCATCAACCACTGCACGCAAAGTTTTTTTGGTAGGCTGCAAAGGATCGAGGTCTGCAGGCACGCGCGTGCTCGAAAAATCATGTTCGGGTCACTGGCAAAATCTTCGTGTCGAAGGCCACATCAACTGCTGCTGCAGCACATATTCCACTGCATTTGTCGCAACTGTGTTTCTGACAAAACTCGGATAGCGCTCCCTAAGTCAAGTGCAATGTTGACAAACTTTTCACAGAAACATCTCTAGGTTGCAACTGCAGTGCACCCAACTAAGCAGCATCACAGGATTTCCTAAGGCCAAGCACACGGTTTTAAAGAGAGGTGATCGCAGGCTTAAGCTTCCGCCTATGATTTTAACTCGTCGTCCAAATTGATAAGATCTCCTAACTGGTCATTAAAATTGCTGAGATCACCTCATGCACCTCAGGCCTACTTTTTCTTTTGTTTTGAGCCTGAAGCCTTGCTGTCATCCTTCTGCGTTGCTGCCTCTTTGTTTTTGTCCTTGTCAGGGTTCTTGGCTTTCTGGCTTGCGCGAATCAACGCCTTGGCAATATCCGTCCGCTCTTTGGCCGTCTCTTTCAGCTTCTCGACCTGCAAGCTCACATGATCCAGAAAAAACGAGCCTATGTACTTCGCAAGGTGATCGCACTCAACATGCAATTCCGCCTCATCAATAATGTACTTGTAATATTTGTTCTTGTTCTTGTTGGCCGCCACGAGCTTCTGCAGCTCACTGGCCTGTAGCAAAAGCAAACATTTTGGAATCCGTAGGTGTTAATGAAACAAACTGCCTTCTGGCTGAACTTCTTTTCCAGGGCCAACAGCTGCTGGATCAATGCATCCGACATTTTGATAGGCTTCAGCTTGAACGCCAAGTCCCTGCACAGGCTAATGACGTTAAACATGTAGCGTTGAAATTACAACCGCCGCCTGCACGTGTTCTTCTCCCGCAAAACCGTGTTCACAAGCGCTGCCGCCTTTTGGAGCGGCGTGTCGGGCGTCACCTGCACAAAGTTTAAATTAAACCATGTCAGTTTGACATAGTACATTGCGCCGCTGCCTTGCCTCCTTGGCTGCTCCAGCTTCCCCGCCCTTTGCTGTTTTGCCTGCTTTGCCTTTGCTCTTAGAGGGGGCAACCGTGCCTGTCAACTGCAACGCTTTTGCCATGCCCTGCGCTGATGCTCCTCCGCTCTGCGCAAGCTGCTGCTTGCTAGGGTCCAGCACCCCACCTTCCTGCGGCAAAAACAATGACAAAACCACACAAACATCATGCTTCACATGGAACTGCTGCAATGTGACACATTTATACTTAATCGAATTGCCTTGGTAAACGCTGCCAAGCACTCAGCATCTATGCTGCCGTTGAGCTCCAGCTTCGTGATCCTCTCCAGTTCTCGCACGTCGTCGATGTTGATTTCTATGAACATGAAGTACAGCTTGTCTTCTGGGGATTCTGGATCAGTTATGGTCCTCAATTTTGATTTGAGAATCTAGAAAACATGTGTGCAGATTAGTCTTGGAAAGCACATCACTTGAGCACAGCACATCACTTGAGCACTAAAGAGCTTTGTTTTTTTTATAAGCCCATTTGCTGGCACACCTGAACAAAATCGGTTTCCTAAGAACAGGCAAGTTTCAGGCCTTGCTCCGTCTTGCGTTTGATGATTCGTTCGGCTTTAGGCACTCCGTGGGTATCCTGAACCCATTTTTCCGATCTGAAACCATAACGGATCTTGGACCTCTGGGCCTCTCTCAGCTGCTGCGTATGCTTGAGCACAACTTGCTGGGGGTCTCCCCCAGCCTCCACATAATCGGCAAACAGCTTCATACGACCTTCTTCGGTCTGAAGGCGTGAACTCAAGGCTTCTGGAAAGCGTTTCTTGTTCTTGACCCATCGGCCATAACGCAGGTAAAGCTTATGATGGCTGTTGCTATTCACTGCTTTCGGCAAACCCTCTTCGGCCTGGGCCAACTTCTTCTCATCCTCAGGTTCCTTGGCCTCATCCTTGATTTTCTTTGCCTTTTTTTCCTTCTTATTGTTTCTCTTTGACCCAGTCTCGCTTCCAGCCTCAACTTCATGCGCCTTTCTTTTGGAAGGCTTGTCTGCTGGAACCAGTGCCAAGCTGGTCGCGTCCGCCTCGCTTTTCGCACGCTGGTCCTGCTTCATGCGCTTGCCTGCCTCACGCGCTTGCTGTTTTTCCTGCGTGCTGTCAGGATCGGGGGTTTGCTGGTTCTGCTTGTCGTTCTCCTTTTCCTTGCGCTTTTCCTTCTGCTTATCCTTTTCGTCCTGGTTCCGGTTATGCTTGCCCTTGTCCTTTTCCTTGCTGATCTCCCTCTGCTTGTCCTTTTCGTCCTGGTTCTGCTTCTGCTTGTCGTTCTCCTTTTCCTTGCGCTTTCCCTTCTGCTTGTCCTTTTCGTCCTGGTTCTGGTTCTGCTTGTCCTTGTCCTTTTCCTTGCGCTTTTCCTTCTGCTTGTCCTTTTCGTCCTGGTTCTGGTTCTGCTTGTCGTTCTCCTTTTCCTTGCGCTTTTCCTTCTGCTTGTCCTTTTTGTCCTGGTTCTGGTTTTGCTTGCCCTTGTCCTCTTCCTTGCTCTTTTCCTTCTCCTTGTCCTGCTCCGGGGTGGGCTCGTCCTCCTCCTCTGCTTCGTTATCATCCTCAGTGCCTCCTGACACAGAGTCCTGGCTGCTGCCATCATCCTCGTCTGAGGCATCCTCAGATTCCGCTTCCTCTTCCGCTTGTTCATCCTCCGCCTGGCTTCCTTCATCCTCACTCTCATCCTCCGAAGCGGATGCGCTGGGTTCCGTTCCTTCATCCTTTTCTTCATTGCTTCCTCCCTGTTTTCCTTCCTCGTCTCCTTCCTCCTCAGTGGAGCTGTCCTCAGCCGAGGATTCCTCACCACCTGCTTCATCCTCCTCAGTGCCAGCGGAGGCAGACGAAGTGTCCGCCTCAGCTTTTTCCTCCTCCATTTCCCCCAAGATCTCCTCAGCCTTCGAAAGCGACATGCCAGGGCTGGCATCCTCGGTAGCCTTCCTGGTTTTCCTTGGCGGAGTCACCGTCACCGGGTGAACCTCCGGCTCACTCTTGAAGGTCACCTTGCCTTGCCCTCGTTTGCTTCCGCTCGTCTCGCTGCTTGCTTTGCCACCGTTCTTCAAGACAGGGGGCGGGGTCCGGCACACAACTGGCTCCTGGCCCTTTGCCTTGCTTGCGGCGGCCGCCTGGGTTTGCTTTGCAAGCTTCTCCAACTTCTTGTTCGTCAACCCAGGTTTTGCCTTCTTAGGGCTGTGAGCAGCTTCTGCTTCCGAAGTCTTGGCCAAAAGGCGGCGCTTAGGCTTTCGAGGCGAGCCCGGCTTGGGCGGCATAGCTACACAGAAAACTAGATGACTCGAACCTCAAATGTTCTTATTTTCGAACAAAAGATCTTTGCACATCATTGTCCATCATGCATGATCACCTGACATTGATTCATTTTGCTGGGCAGCACATGTGGAAACACAGTGCCTTCTGAAATCATCCTTCTTGAATTACGCATATGGGGCACACAGCAAGCTGCTTACCTGCACTTCGCCCTACCAAAGTTGGGGAATTGCAATGGATTTCGCGGTTTCTCGGGTGGATTTATTGGG